ATTCATAAAATAGTACCACATAGGATAAAATTCCACTCCATACATGTATCTGTAGTCCCGGTGACTTTCTATAATCCCAGTGACTTAAGATGTAGAGGCAGGTGGATCGCTTGAGCCCAGAAGGTAAAGAGTGCAGTACATTATGATTGTGCCTGTGAGTAGACTCTTGTACCCTAGTTTGGGCATCATTGCAAATACCCCATCTGTAAAAATAAATGTTAAATATTCCATTTCTATGCAAATGAGATGTGGACATTTTGGAAAATTTTGAAAATTCCTAGATAGTATGAACTTAAGGGTATGAGAGATCCATCAAAAAATACAGGATGTATCAGCCAGGTGCCATGGCTCATGCCTGTAATCCCAGCACTTTGGGAAGCTGAGGCAGGTGTCCTCACTTGAGTCCAGGAGTTCACGACCAGCCTGGCCAACATGGTGAAACCCCATCACTACTAAAAAATACATAAATTAGTCAGGTGTGGTGGCATATGCCTGTAATCTCAGCTGCTCGGGAGGTTGAAGCATGAGAATCACTTGAACCCAAGAGTTGGAGGTTGCAGTGAGCAGAGATGGAGCCACTGCACCCCAGTCTGAGTGAAAGAGCAAGACTCCATCTCAAAAAAAGGGGGTGGGGTGATACAAAGGATTTTTGATGTACACGATGTATCATGCTGCTACTTTAAATTCATTTCTGGTTTTGAATATGTGCATAGTGAATTTTGATAGATTGAGAAGGTAAATGAGGGAGAAAGGGAAATAACAGCAAAGAAAATTCCAACATAGGCAAGATTGGATAGCAGAACATTGGCAGTGGTTTCTTAACGCTAAGTTAGTGAGTGAGTTACTTTGTTTCTTGGATCTGTGCGAAGTGGAGCAAAGTCCTGATCCATCATGCCCACTGCTTTGGGGCTTTGCTTTTCTTTGAAAAAGTAAGAAAATAACACTGAGGTATCTTGCTCAATTCTAGTTCCTTTCCAATCACCTGATTATTTAAAATATTTTTTAGATAATTGTACATTACGATGTAGTTGTAAGAAATAATACAGAGAGATCCCATATGTTCTTTAAGCAATCTGCTGTGGTAGCATCTTGCAAACCTATAGCACAACGTCATAACCAGGGTATTGATGTTAGTACAATCAAGGTTCAGAACATTTCCGTCACCACAAAATACTTGTGTTGCCTTTTATAATCACCCTCTCCTTAACCCCTGGCAACCACTAATCTGTGCTCCATTTCTATAGTTTTCCCATTTTAATAATGTTAGATAAACGGATTTATGCAGTATATAACTTATGGGGACTTTCTTTTTTCACTCAGCCTAATTCTCTGTACACTCATTCAGGCTGTTACTTACTATCAATAGTTGGTTCCTTTTTACTGCTGGGTAGTATTCTGAAGTTTGGATGTAGCACAGTTTGTTTAACCATTAACCTGTTGAAGGATATCTGGGTGGTTTCCAGTTTTGGGCTATGTATAAAGCTGCTATAAACAAGTTTTCATTTCTCTAGAGTAAATGCCAAAATGAGCAATTGCTGGGTGATATGGTAGTTGCATGTTTAGCTTTTAAAACTACAAAACTGTTTTCCACAGTAGCTCTACCATTTTACATTCTCAAAAGCAATATATGAGTGATCTAGTTTCTTCAAACCCTCGCCAACATTTGGTGTTGTCACTATTTTTATTTTAGCCATTCTGATAGGTATGTTGTGATGTCTCATTGTAGTTTTAATTTTCTTTTACCTATAGGCTAACAATGTTGTATATGATTTCATATTATCTGGTCTCTATATATCTGTATCCTCTTCAGTTAGTCTGTTTACATATTTTTCCCATTTTTCAACTAAGTTGGTTTTTTGGTTGCATTTTGAGAGTTCCTTATGTTAGACATTAGTTCTTTGTCAGATACTTGGCTTGCAAATATTTTCTACCAGTTTATATCTTGTATTTATATCTGCTTCACATGGGCAAAATGTTTTAATTTTGTTGAAGTTCAATTTACCAATTTTTCCTCTTGCAGATTGTGTTTTTGGTGTCAAGGTTAAGAATGCTTTGCCAGCCCTGATCCCAAAGATTTTCTCCTATTTTTTTTTTATTTTGTAAAAGTTTTGTAGACTTACATTTTTCATTATGCCATGTTCCATTTAGAGTTTGTTTGTATGTAAAGTGTGAGACTTGCAGACAATAACAGCTCTACTTCTGCCAAACACAACAGGAGAAAACTTTGCCTCACTCCTATCCTCACTAGCAAAGACTACGTGGAAAGCAAGGTGGGACCTTCTTGAGCACCTACCATATGCTAGGTCCTGGACTTATGATGGTGGAGCAAAAGCTCTCCAGATATTTCTGATCTATGTCAAATGACTGCTATTAAGGTATTTTCATGTGAAAGAGAAAAGAGAAAGATACTGCTCTGCCAGACTCAATTAAAATCTATCCCTTTCTAGCTGCATGATATTGGGAAAATTGCCCCACTACTCTAAGCCTCAGTTTCTTCACTTATAATAAGATGGTTTTGAGAATTAAATTAGATAAAAATGTGAAATGACTGGTGCATAGGTTGTTCAATAAATAATGCCATTCTTCTCCAAACTGATCCATTGCAGCTGCTGAAAAATTAGCAATGGACCATTGTCAGAAAATAGAAAAAGGCCAATTGTAAACAGACAATTCTGAATTTTCTAATGGCTAATTATCTGCTTTATAGATAAACTAGAAACCTTATGTTCCTGCTTTGTAGCTTGGTGGCCAGTGGTTTGCACAGCTACTGGGTGCTATTAAATAAAGTAGATAAATGAACATTTTATTCTGATTCAGTTAAAATTTCTGGAAAATTAAGGATTTAGGAATAGAAACTGATGTGGATAGGAACCAATATTGTTAACATCTGAATTTTAGGTTTATCAAATATCATTAAATTATGGAAAGATATAAAATTAAATTCTGCCGCAAAATATGTAAAGAAATTCTACTTAATGTACCTGAAGGAAAAATTTAGATTGTAGTCAATATACCTAAATCGAGTTCTTGGGACTATTCATGTATACTGTTCATGTCAAGTTTTCTGATTTTTAAACAAGCCCAAGTTTGTTTATTACTTTGAGATCCTTCACTGAGTAGTATAACAATTCAGCTGTCACCTTTTCTTGTATTCTCTTGATGCTTGCCATTTTGTTCTTTGCCTTTTTTTAACCATTTCCTTTTCCACTTAGAGAAAAACTATAAAATGCCTACCTTTTTTAATTAAAAAAAAAATTCTACCAGCAACATCTCCAGAACTATGTCTGGGAATAATCACGTAATGTTGGATCTGTCACAAATATTTTCATACAATTGATTTTAAGCTAAATAAACACCAAAGTCATTTCTGAAATGGTCATAGAAAACATATGACAAAATGCTCATCATCACTGGTCATCAGAGAAATGCAAATCAAAACTACATTGAGATACCATCTCACGCCAGTTAGAATGGCGATCATTAAAAAATATGGAGACAACAGATGCTGGAGAGGATGTGGAGAAATAGGAACACTTTTACACTGCTGGTGGGAGTGTAAATTAGTTCAATCATTGTGGAAGACAGTGTGGAGATTCCTCAAGGACCTAGAAATAGAAATTCCATTTGACCCAGCAATCCCATTACTGGGTATATATCCAAAGGATTATAAATCATTCTAGTATAAGGACACATGCACACGAATGTTCATTGCAGCACTGTTTACAATAGCAAAGACCTGGAAGCAACCCAAATGCCCATGGATGATAGACTGGACTGGGAAAATGTGGCACATATACACCATGGAATATTATGCAGCAATCAAAAACGATGAGTTCATGTCCTTTGTAGGGACATGGATGAATCTGGAGAACATTATTCTCAGCAAACTGACACAAGAACAGAAAATGAAATACCGCATGTTCTCACTCATAGGCGGCTGATGAACAGTGAGAACACATGGACACAGGGAGGGGAGCACTACACACTGGGGTCTATTGGGGGGAATAGGGGAGGGACAGTGAGGGGGCGGAGCTGGGGAGGGATAGCAGGGGGAGAAATGCCAGTTATGGGTGAAGGGGAGGAAGACAGCAAATCACACTACTGTGTGTGTACCTATGCAACTATCTTGCATGTCCTGCACATGTACCCCAAAACCTAAAATGCAATAAAAAGGAAAAAAAAAAAAGAAAACACAGAAGAGCAATGTAAGGCTTAGGTGGAAAGGGAGGAAGAGAGTTAAGGCTCACATGCATATGAATGTCAGGTCATTTATAGCAGCATCCGGTTGAACCACAGCAACCTCCTCCGTAACCATTCATCCCCTAAACATTGGACTCTCAAAGCAAGCTCGAAGCTCATGCATTTCTCAACCTCCAGAATTGGATTTGTTCCTCATCTGTTTACTGTCTTATTTTCTCATTTTGTCAAAACATGTTTTGAAAATAGCTAATTCATATAAAGAAAGTAAATTACTGCTTATTGTATATACATTTTAAAGTTGTTTTAATGCTTATCCTGTCGAAATTATCTTTTCAACTAGAATAAGCCACTGTTGATACTAGATATAAAATCTGAATAAACCTAAGTTTGGGGAATTCAATACTTTAATTGATGTTGGTATTTGATACCCCACTAGAGGCACTGCTTCTTGGGGTTATCTGCCAACACGATCCCCATCACATCAGAGAATCAGGGCAGGGGAAAAACAAAAGAAAAATTATTTTCATAGGACAGAAATTACTAAATTTTTATAAACTGTTAATATAAGAATTGATATAATAATATAGATTGAGAGTATAATTCTGTTGTCTGGCTGACTTAAGCACTTTGATATGGTAAGATTGGTTGACTTTTGAATATTTGGCATGTATTTTTTCTTTAATTTTTTTCCGATTGCTGGCCACACCCAGTAAACTAAATTATAACTCTTTGCTCCCATATTTTCATCATATTAAATGTTTGCACTCTCTTTCTTTTTTCTTCCATTTTTACTATCCAAGGGTCCTGTTTCCCAGAGGAACAGTTCATTTCAACAGCCAGGGAGAAAGCCTGGATGCTTAAGGTAAGGTTTATATAAACTATGTTGTATGACTCTGCTTAAAAATTAATTTAAAGTGAGTGGTAATATTGTCATTGTAACAAATTTATTTTCAAAATTCCAGTATACAACTAAAGCCAATATTTGAGTAAATATGCTGTTTTAAAACACTATTTTTCAAACTACAGTCCATTTCTCAAGTGTACTACGGGCTAATTAACTACTATTAGAAATTCCTGTAAAAATGGTCAAGCCAATTAATTAAAGTTTAATTTTGAAAATCTTATTCATGATAGGTGGGGAGGGTCGAATATCAAGATATGGTCAAAATGAATTCATGACATTGCTATTTATGAATAAATTATTTTTATTGGCTATTGTTAAGAATCGAGAAAGCCACTCTGTTGGCTTTGAGGACAGAAAAAGAGAGAGAGAGTGAGAGCATGCAAGCGTGCTTGTGACAGAGATGAGGAACCTAGAAAGCCTCATTTGTTGAGTTTGGGATTTGTCTTTGAGACACAATCATTTTGATCTTCAGTTATTTACAACGCGTACTCTAAGTCTCTCGAAATAATGCCTTCAACAGTCACCTCCAGGAGCCCTTAGAACAAAGGAACAACTAACTGAAATTCCACCAGATGGCAATATTTGGAAAGCCATTCAGAGAGGTCTCAGAGCTACGAGCTATGTTCACAGGGAACAGACTCACAAAGTGTGGTATAACATCCTATGTTTTATCAAAGGTGCTCTAAACGTCTTTTATTTTACACCTGTTTCTCCACAGCATCAAACATTGTTACTTAAAAACTGTGTGGGGGTGTATGTGTTTTCTTCTTTTTAAAAAAAAATCTGCAATGATAAAATTAGAAACCTCATTCTTAAATAGTAATTCTCCAAACAGTGATGGTGAATGTTAAAAGCTCAAATCAATGAATAAATACCATATTTGTTTTGGGGTCTCATTGTAATAAATGCTGTGACTGATGGTCATTTTTTAAATATTCAAGAGGAGAAACTGAAATTCTTCTACTTAAAGAAGAATAGCATTCTAAGAATTTGTCTTGATATTAAAATTTGCAGGTATAATATTTATTGTATTGACTTGAAATAATTAGTTTATTGAGTGTGGATGAACAGATGTTTTTCCCTGTTGCTCTAGTGAAAGTGGAAATATGGAGAACTTTTGTAGGCTGATGTGGGCAGATCCCCTGAGGTCAGGAGTTCGAGACCACCCTGGCCAACATGACAACACCCTGTCTCTACTAAAAATACAAAAATTAGCTGGGCATTGTGGCATATGCCTGTAATCCCAGCCATTCAGGTGGCTGAGGCACAAGAATCACTTGAACCTAGTAGGCAGAGGTTGCAGTGAACAAAGATCGTATCACTGCACTCCAGCTTGGGTGACAGAGTGGAAAAAAAAAAAAGTGGAGCTATGGTACCCTGCATGGTGTCCCAACAGCTGGAATATTTGGGGGCCAGAGCAGACTCTAAAGCAGAATTGGGACAGGGGTCAGTGGAAAGGTATCTGAGGGCATTAGAAACAAGAAGAACCAGAAAGAGAAGCCACCTAAGCTTTCTGTGTCTATAGCAGCAGATCATGAGTGCCCTTTGAAAACTGATCTGCACTGCTAGCCCTTCTAGTAGATGGTCCATATGTCAGGTCTGTCTGGGACAGTCCTGGTTCAATTCTGTTGTCTTGGAATATAGTCTAGTTAAGACCCCCTTTCACCCTCAAAATGTTTCATTTTAGATGATAAATTATATGATCATCCTATCTTCCAGGCTGGGGTATTTGAAGAAAAAATAACAGGAAAAGATGGCCCATTACCTAAATAAGGTGTTGCTTTATAAATCTCCTTGTATAGAGGGGTATGGGACAAATGTGTCTTTGAAGAGTCAAACTGTAAATATTTTTTGCCTTGCTGGCCATACGAGTCTCAGTCACAACTGTTCAACTCATTGCAGTGTGAAAACATCCAAAGATCATACATAAAGAAATGGGCTTGGCTGTGTTCAGTAAAGCTATTTACAAAAACGCAGTGGACTACACTTGGCCTGTGGGCCATCATTTGCACATCCCTGTTAGATAATAGAGACGGGTTAAGGTGGTAGAAGATGGCAGAGAACCAACGAGATAACCATCATTAGCCCCTCTCCCTTCTCTCTATATCCCTTCTGGGTTGCACCATCCTTTATTTAACTCTTTCAGGAACTAGTACAGTTGACCCTTGAACAACATGGGTTTGAACTGCAAGGGCTTACTTTTAAATTACTTTTTTTTTTTTTTTCAATAAATGCAGTCGAACCTCCATATCCATGGATTCCACATCCGCAGCCAAATGTGAACTGAAAATACAGTATTCATGTTACGTGAAACCCACAGATAGTTCAGTGGGACTTGAGCATGAATGGATTCTTATGGGGGAAGGAAGGTTCTGAATCCAATCTCGGAGGAAAAGCTGTATTGATCTTTTCCCTGAGTGAGTAATTCTATCTGCTATTAAGTGGTTCCTGAGATTCCTTTACTGGGTGTCACTTCTTGTTTCTCATCCAAATCTGTTTCTGCACCACACATAATATGCTTGTACTTTATACCTCATGACGTATAATTCAGGTGTCACCTGAGTTCTAGGGTTCAATACTGAAGCAATAGCTCATTCGTAGACAATTTAATTTTATGCTTTGATCCTCACTAAACAGTTGTCTTTGGGAAATATAATCAGTCAGTCACATTAAGGAAAAGTTTGTGTTGACTATACCAAATTTTTTATTATATTAATGAAAAGTAACATAGTACATTTAAAGAAAATCCTGGGTAAAAGTCATCCATAACAATGCCATCCTAAAATAACTGTTTTCCTATTTTCACACATTCGGTCTTCTCACAGGCATCTGTTACTCCACAATGCGTATCATCATGAATGTGAACTTCGTATTTTACTTTGTGTGAGTCACAGCATCTTTCACTTTCATGGGTTTTCAGAACTATCATTACAATAGCAGTATAATGTTCTGTCAGCACGCCAAAGTATATGTTTTCATTCTTACTATCTTCCCAGTTTTCATCAGAAAAAAGTGCTATGCTAAATTTTTATATAGATCTTGTTGGTTTAGTTTGTGTCTATTCATCTATTTTCTAAGGTCAAAATTCCAGAAGTGGGATAATTAGTCAAAGATAGACCATTTTTATGACTTTTAATCTAATTTACTATATTTTCCCCAAAGATTTGGAATAATTTACAAACATTTGTAGTTTTAGGGTACTAGTTTCACCACAACATTTTCAGAGAGCATTTAACTTATTCAATAGTATTTACTGAATGACTACTAACTGTAAAACACTGTGCTGAGTGTTTTGGGGTGTGTGTGTGTGTGTGTGTGTGTGTGTGTGTGTATGACTGATGTGCTCATTCTACGTTTATTTTGTGCCTACTATCAGCTAGGTATTGTAATTTTTCAATGAGGAACAAGAGATAGCTTCTATCTCAGAGCATTTGACTTTCCTCAGTAATATAGAAAATGAGATGCACCATAGGAGAAACACAGTTACAATATAATGGAAGTTTGGGGAGGGGGAGGTAAAGATTATATCTGAGCTGAGCCATGAAGGTCAGTTGGTTTGGAATTCTCAGGGATGGTGAGATTAGCCATTTATTCCATAAACATGTGTTGATCACTAACTCTATGCCAAGTTTCATGGTAAAAGCTAGGGATATAGAGGTGACCAAGGCAGAGCTCTTAGAGCATACTATCTAATGGAGTAGATAATCTTTTTTAAAAATATTATAAAGGTGATAACCAGGATAGCTTGTCTGGCAGAGGATACCCAGGGTTAGGGATGAACGCGGGTTTCCCCTAGAACAAAACTTTTCCATGGCTTCCCTTTTGAAAGACACAGCCTTGATCATCAGTTATTGTGTCATAATCTGTAGGATGTCTGCTTCTGGAAGTTTGAAGGTTCTTGTAATTGCACTTGTACTGACCAACATTCCAATTAAAGTTGGCCTGCATTGACAGTCCCCCACAGTGAGTACATTTACTGAGAATACACAGAAGCTAGGCCTGGGATTGGTGAGACCTACAACCTGGCCCTCACCAGATGACGATGGAAACAAATCACCAAGAATTCGTAGATTTTTGTACAGTTTTTGTAGATTTCGTTCGTGTTTTGTCTTAAAACAGCTGGAAGAAACCTCATTGATACCTCATTGATTCTAATCCAATCTAATCTAATCCAATCTCTCATTTTACAGATGAATATTCTTGAGTGAGGAAAATTTGAATGACTTTTCTAGAATTAGGCAGTGGCATTACCATAGCACCAGAACCTTCACTTCTGATTCTTCTTGGCTGTGGTCACTGCTTTAATTTGTCCCTGCCTTATCAGTACCATAGAGGTAGGAAGAATTAGGACTAGATTAACCTAAATCTGAATTAGGACTAGATTAACCTAGACTAACACTAGTATACATAAAAGCAATAAGATACATTTTACCTATCTCATACCACAGTACAAATTTTTAATTTATGATTTTTTTTTTTTTTTTTTTTTTTGAGACGGAGTTTCGCTCTTGTTACCCAGGCTGGAGTGCAATGGCGCGATCTTGTCTCACCGCAACCTCCGCCCCCTGAGTTCAGGCAATTCTCCTGCCTCAGCCTCCTGAGTAGCTGGTTAATTAAAATTTTAATTTAAACCAGGCCTGGTAGGTCATGCCTGTAATCCCAACACTTTTGCAGGCTGACTCTGGAGGATCACTTGAGGCCAGGGGTTCAAGACCAGCCTGAGCAATATAGAGAGACCTTATAGCTGCAAAAAATAAAAGTAAATAGTCAGTGTGGTGGCACATGTCTGTCGTTGCAGCTATTCAGGAGGCTGAGGCAGGCAGATCCCTTGAACCCAAGAGTTTAAGGCTATAGTGAGCCATGATCATACCACTGCACACCAGCTTGTGAGCTGGACAAACAGCTTGATCTCACTAAGCTTCCCTCTCATCTTCAAAGTAGAGACATAATATATCTTG